AATTTTACAAGAAAAAATATTATTCAGAGCCTTTCTTTAGAACTTTCTTCGTCTAAACCGAATACTGCGTAAACGCTGAGGACCAGTGTATTCCTCGTTCAAACGACGAAAATGAAACTGCTTCTATTCATAATAAAAACAAAACACGACGCGCCGTTCGTGTTTGTTTACATAAAAACGGAACTCGTAAGTTTTTTAAGTGCTACTACCACGTGCCGCCCGCCGCCGGTTCCTCAATCCAGGCCTAATGAGTAAAGAAGGCACAGACGCAAAGCTTCATGTGTGCGTGTGTGAGTGAGCATTGCCGGCCCGTCGAGTACGCAGAGAAACTTTTCTACCACAAAACACAAAAAGAGGGTAGAAAGGCCTTGTGGGCCGTGTGGACGTGACAGGCGCACCACAGTTGTGTGTGAGCAAATGCTCATAACTTGACCAAAAATTTATCTATTATCTATTAGGTGGAAGTATAGTGGGGGCGAGTACAAAAGGTTTATGATCACCCTTCTAACCTCTTTCTGTGGTCTGTGGTTTCTACAGTCGATCAAAATTTTGAGGTAAAAATAAGACTTTTCTTTATAGAGGCAGGTGTAAATAACAACATAACAACGAGTTACTGTATATTATAACGTTCCCTTTAGTGAGGAGATATTACGTATACTTAGTAATCGAAGTGAAGTGAAATGAGTTTCACCACTTATGGATCGATTACTCTTGGTAGTTAACCCGAATACGAGTGGCAATGGAATTCGGGTTAGCGACTAAAAGTGTAAATGAACCAAGTTGAGTACGCGTTCAGATAGATTTCATTTTAATTACCCGACACCGTGTTCCAGCCCGCAGCCCAGTGTTAATATTTCTTCGGGTGCCCGAATTCGAGTCATGTTTTTCGTACACCCTAATACGGGCTAACAACCAAATATAATTAGAGCATTATTCACAAGCAGTGCTCTCCTGTCAGTGTCATCTAAGTGCCAAAAGATCTTAGTAGCACTGTAGGTAGTAATGAATTAGGAATTCGTTGGTGCCTTGTTGTTGGCGTACACAAGTTTCTATTGGCGGTGACAGGCCGCCATTAGTCCGCCAGTGCTCACTCACACTCGCGCAGTGCATATAGTTTTGTCTCGTGCCGCCACGCACGTCGGTTGCCGGTTGCTCAGGCCACTCAGGCGCAGACAATAGCTTGTTAGCCTTTTGTCCCGGACTCGGGACGGCGTGTCACATCCTTGCATTGTCGCAATCAGGGAAGCATTGACCGGGAGTTAGATTTGAATTTGAGTGACATGTCAGTGGTAGGTAAATATATTTATTATTAGCTTCATTTATCTTAGAGAGATAATGCACACTGTGGAAGTCAATAGATGTAATGACGTGATTACAGTTGATTTAGTCGCTAGCCCGAATACAAGTGCCAATGGAATTCGGGTAAACGCCTAAGTGTAAATGAACGAAATCGAGTACGTCCGTATTCGGGTAGCTTTTGTTTTAGTTACCCGGCACCGTCTTCTCGCCCATATTCCCGTGTAAATATTGCTTCGGGTGCCCGAATTCGAGTAATGTCTTTCGTGCACCCAAATACAGGCTAACGACTGAGTGTGATTGAGCCATTATGATTTAATTTAATGCGCTCGATATCGAGTACAACGTCCTGCGCTGCTTATTTTTATCGTGATCTCGATAATCGATTAATATAAAAAGTTCTTCATCAAGAAGTTCTTATTAAAGAACTTCTTCCGGCTATTGTCAGTATTCCATTAGTATCCTAAAATACAGGCTATATTGAACATTATACCATAGGTAATACTTATAAATAACTAAAATGTATCAATATTCCTAATTTAATAGCGGTTAAACTCTTAATAAATCCACCATATCGACATCGGCACAATGCACTTGGTACTCTTTGTTTACTAACATAGAACATGAGTAAACGAGCAATTGCGGACATCTCGGCAACTCGCCAATAGAGGGCGCTCTTCCAGAAATAAACATGTCACTGGGCGGCCACGCTCGGAAGAATTACGACCGTCGTCCGATGCGGTAGGCATTTCCGATCTTCCGATTTTATTATGCATCGACGTTTTAGTTTTATAGACAGTACGAACTTGCGAATTAACATGGGGTTTTGTTGATAACTTTTACATTTTTATGCAGTCTAACTGGCTGTTTTAACTACTATTTTGAAAAGATATTCGATATTTTGTTGGAAATTCCGTAATAAACTAACTTGCATGAACTGCCTGAGTTAGTTTAGAAGTAAAAAAAATTTATATAAGAAATATGTTGTTTCACAACCTGTAGTATTAATCTTGATACCTATTTAGGGTTCCGTACCTCAATCGGCAAAAACGGAACCCTTATAGGATCACTCGGTTGTCTGGCAGAGCATTAACTTCATACTCTACTAGACAGATTGATGATTTCATCAAGATTGCATCTTGAAAGTTAAATAGTTACACATCGCTCATTATCGCTACATTTGGCATTAGTTGGGTCTAAGATGCTGTTCGGAAACAATAGTGACACTTTCCGAATATGCTGGCCTTTGCCGTTGATAGGCTTTTATATGTGCAGCAGACATGCCCTGGAAAGTACGCAGCTGGCGTATTCTGTGTTATCTTTTCGCATCTTGTACAACTCACGGATTACCTACTTTACCCAATAATTTTATTAGATACCTACCCAGTTAGTTTTACATCTATTTATTACTTTGAGTATGCTTTAGATCTTTGGAACAACTCTGAGAGTTACTATTATTAGCTCGTTCGTATGAAGGAGAAACAAGACAGGGTTGACAGCGGTATACGATTGCAATCATTTTAGTAATTTTACAGGCTGGACTAGGCGCAAAAGCAACAGACAGTGTACTGGCAATCTCTCAATCTCCGATATCCAATCAAACCATTGCAATGCCAAATATATATAGCATTAAGCAAAAAAAAAGGTTGTTACATCGTATTGGGACATATTACACTGTCAGTAATACCACAATATCGTAATATTATTGACAGTTTAATATGACGTATCGCAGCATCACCGGTACAACTTGTGATACTGTCCTTTTATTTTTTCGAGATTATGTAAGTTTTGGGCAAACGTTTTTTTTTAAATGACCACTAATTCTTCAGCTTTCAGAAAAGTATCAATTTAATGTTTAGAGTGGAGTAGTTTATTTACAATTAATGGTTATTGGCAGCAAGTCAGAAAAATCCTAAAAAAATGAAGAACCGTCACAACTTCATAACTATCCAGTTTTGACCCCTAGTTCACTGGACTTATTTTTGTTGCTAATGACCTCTAGTATAACCCCTTTTAAGAAATAAGTCGAGTTTTCCTGTCAACCTGTATAAGACAAAGTTACCCTATTAAAACCTCTGTATAAAAAGCACTTCTTAAGAATCTATTTCGTTTACGGTACGTCGGTAATTTATTTGAATAAAACAACTATGTATGCGCCCAGCCCCCTCGTTTTCTTATTTTTATCTATTTATCTATAATAACTGGGTTTGCAGGAAATCTGTAAATTAAATAATAAATAATTATTTTTAATAATTTACATCGGCGATGGCGAGCTCCGTAAGGTTTCGAGAGAATGACTTTTCGAATATAATGTTCAGAAAAAAAATGTATGAAATCGATATGTCGATAATTTTTATCGAAACCCTTATAATGTTAAAAAATAATATTATTATGTTATACAGAAAATATACTATTTACTGCATATATTAAATATACATACTACAAAGTTATGTTAGGAATAAATTAATTGAAAATAAGAATCATGAAAGTGATATTGCGCATTCTATATTTACCTGAGAAACGTCCCTTTATTTGAGTTATTGGCACAAGTTACACCACCGTTCAAGACACAACACGAAATCAAAATCAGTATGATAATTTTACGGGTAAAACATTAGTGATAGTGAGAAAAATAAATAAATTGATTTCATGTACGCCAATTTTATATTGTCTATTTTTCGCATGTAGCGTTTGGGAGAAGGTTTGGTTTCTTCACAAAGTGTGTGCCTAGCACATGCTTTGTTTCTCTTTTCGATAGTATATACATTTTATGGACTAAAATAGATGATGATATTACATATCTTTTTTCTGTGATGTGCAATACCGTGTTTATTATTTTATCCGTTATTTGATGCAGGGAGTGCCAACCCTGTCTAGCCTGATTAGAAGCGGGAACGATGCACGCACTAACTAGGCACTTATTACGTGTACTTTAGGTCTCGTTAAGAAATCGCCGCCAGAATCTTCGTAACCCTTACTTTATACGAAATTATATTCCACAAACGAGTTATTTTAAGGTTCGCGCCTATGTGTAAACCTGACTTGTTAACTGATTACTCTATTCGTATTTCGTATTTTAAAGGTAAGAGCGATTATCATTTGGCGTTTTATTTATTATCAAACAACTATGCAACGTTAAACAACGTTATTAAAACAACGAAAGCTTATTGAATTTGTATTTATGTTCGAGAAATTAAATTATGCTTATATTTTTATAAGATGACTAAGTTTTTAAAAATTAGGTTATTCATTCCAATAAAATAATGAATGAACGAGGATTTAAATCTTTGCGAAACATAGTCAAAATTAATATAAAAACAAAATACTAATTGCCGTACTTTGTGATAGTGTATGATATCTGCTTGAAGTACTTACTACAAATAAAAAGTAATATAAAAATTTGAGCTAAAACGAATGTGACAAAATTAATCCTATTCCGACAAAATTATCGAGAAGTATGTATCCATATTCGTCGTCGCTTCGACTTTGCGACAGTGCAAGTGAACCTTTATAAAAATAAAGTTACAACAACCGCCATCTATACCAAAAGTTGAGAACTACTTGCCAACAGGACTACTTAGGGCAGCTATTCCCTAACAGATGGCGTTGTCACCATTTTATATTTATACACTATATCTGTAAAAATACAATTGTTTGATGTTTTAGTTTTAATCTAATAAGTAACTAAAAATAATCTAACTTACCGATTGGCCGTCAAAGTCGTCATCTCGACGTTGTTACCACACGCTGTTAAAATCTCATCGCAGCTGCTGCCACCTGTGATACGTTGCACAGAACTCAGCGAAACGTCTTCGTTTGAGGTTTTCGTTGTGTTCGTAGCATTTCCACTAGATGGCGCGGTTCTTTGTTTTGCTGCTTGTTTATGCCGACTTAGTGCAAAAAATAAGGCTAGGACTGCTTTTAATTTTGCGTCCCGAATGTCTACGGCTGTCACTTGCTCCAATCCTTGGACTTTTTGTGCATGGAGAAAATCCAAACAACATTGCACGTTCTCCAACTGTAACAATAGGGAAATACCTTTTTAGCTTTAACAACACCTTGATAAACACTCAGATTATCTTTAGTACCCTTAGTACGAGTATTACAATTACGAAAACTATGATAGTTTTCGTGAGCTTGCACTCGTACTAAGGGTACTAATTTTATTGTTTTCGTTTCAATACAAATAAACAGTGTTTAAATTCTATCATTAAATCATTTGCGTCTTCTTAAATTTTAAATAGGTACGTATATTTGGTTACTTTTCACCAAAATGGACATAGAAACATAATTTACAAATACGAAAACTACGATAGTTTTCGTGAGCTCAAACTCGTACTAAGGTACAGTACCCTAGTATGAACCATTATCGAATTCGAATAGTTTGCAAACCGAAATGTCAATGTCAAATTTTGTATGGAAACTTGAACAGCAGCGCCACTTTCGACGTAACGGGAACTAATAAATCAGTACACATTTGACAATGACATTTCGGACTCGCAAACGTTACGAATTGCGAAGGCGTACAGGACATAAGGTACGAGTATGTATCTGTAATCAGAGAATAAACATACGGCTACCACCTGTTAGGTTTGTAACTTAATACACACTAAGGGCAATATTAAATTGTTTCTAGCAAAATGGTCACTTAGGTATCCGAACTACTCATTTGCAATCCGATATAAATGCCATACAATAAGGTAGGTACGACTTCATTCGCCTACCAATTGAGGATTGTTATCAGGTACCTATACTAGGTAGGTACATAAGTAGGTATCTACCTACTAACTAATATGTGAACTGATACAAATGTTTGATTTAAAAAAAACAGTGATTAATGCAGTAGGGATGCTACTAATTAAGACCTGAAATAAAGTAAGAACAATTATTTAGGTAAGTAGGTATATTAATTTCACGTACACCACCATCTAAATGGCGACATTGGGTTATGATTGGATGAAAGTGATGAAACATAAAAAATGTGTCGCTTTTTAGAATTCTTCAATTTATAGACAGTAACAATAAATGTGTAAATATTCTTGTTTTTATAAAATTAGAAATCGGAAATACATTATTATAACGTGTCGTTGGTCGTGCACATGCCTAACCTGGGGTACGACGCAGCATTTTCGAATCCTCAAAGTGTGTGTTTTAACACTATACGGGGCAATGTAGGCCTGTGGCCATGTCTTTCGTGATCAGGTTTTCTAGGAACCCATGGATCATTCAAAGAAACCATGGTAAGGAGAACCCTTGTTGTCGAGTACAAAGTCATAAGTCATATTAAGCCATTATTGGCTTAATCGTTCTTCTGGCGCAGTTAGCCAATAAGAAGAAATGGACAACATTGTTAAGTACAAGTACCTTCTTCCGAGACTTTGGTCAAGGCCTCAACTTTAAATGTGGCGATGATGATTATATGCATTAGAGAAAATTTTGGTTCAGTACTCATAGGATATTTGAGAGGAGCTCGATAGCGCAAGTGGTTAGCGCGTTCGGCTGCGATCGTAGAACTTGAGCAACTTTCGCAGTGGTCGGTCATTGGATGGGTGACCAAAAATTACTATCTAGAGCTCCTCCGTGCTTCGGAAGGCACGTTAAGCCGTTGGTCCCGGCTGCATCTGCAGTCGTTAGCACCCACCAATCCGCACTGGGCCCGCGTGGTGGGTCATGGCCCAATCTCCCTATTCCATCCATAGGGAAGGCCTGTGCCCCAGCAGTGGGGACATTAATAGGCTGATGATGATGATGACTCATTTGTTTTAGAGAATAAGAGATAACACTGACGATGCTATCCTAGATAACTAGGAGGTGAAAAATATTAGGGTGGGCGGGATCCTAAATCTCTTCGGCGATAACAGGATAATTCAGATCGAACTTAACTTAGGTAAGTTCGTTTGATCATTCACCTATCCTATTAAATACTACATCTAATCTTATTGAAGACCCTCAGAGCTACTTTTTTTTAACGCACGTGTAGGTACCTACATGTATTTACTTTGAATTCATAGATAGATAGCGTAGCGGTCAGATTTGTGCCATTATATAAACATAATTTTCTATTGAAAAATCTCTATACCTATAGGATCAATCTTCGGATTTTGATCTGATTGAAATTTATTTTGTGATAAAAAAATAAATGATAATTAAATGTAAGCCCACGAAGCTCCTGATTGGAAAGTGATTCAAATATTTGCTAGTTCTATCTTGACCTAATCACAAAGTTCAAAGAAAGTTTAATTATTTTTTTTCTACCGTAAGATTTTTTCCTCTTTGTGGTAATGTTAGCTGTAATAAAAAAATATAAGCACAATGCTCTACTTCTAGATAAAAATTACATTATTAAGATTTATTATATTTATTTAAAGCATTTAAACTGCTCCTGCCAGCTTGCGCAAATCGTCACTCCATCGTGCCTGAGGACGTCCTATTATTTTGGAAGCGAGTAGCCCAAGATCGATCTGAGTGGCGTGCATTTGGAGAGGCCTATGTCCAGCAGTGGACTAAGGTAGGCTGTTGATGATGATGATGATTTAAACTGCTAGATTCATAAATGTTAAGTAAATTTTACAATACAAAATAAGCCCGGATAGCGGAGGGTGCGATTTCGAATACCGTCGGCTGCCTGGATTGCGCGAAAATCTTTCTAGTAAATTTTCTTTAAAAAAAGTTTAGATTAGCTATTAAGTTATTTTTCCTTAAATTATTTCGAAGTACCAAACAAATTGCGATGCTAGCACTTCTAAAAACTATTGATAGTATGGTAATCTATTGGTAAATCCAAAGGTATTTTTGTCATAAACCTATCAATATTCGATTCATGTCATAGCTTTGATCGGCACGTGACGACAATATTAAACAGGCACTTAACCGAAACAGTATCACGAAGATGATCGAGTGATTTTAAACTAAACATTTCCTAAGATTATGAAGAAAATATTAAAAAATATGAGAAGATAAATTGTTCTCATACTAGCAGCCGCCCGCAGCTTCGTCCGCGTTAACTTTAGTGTTTTGAAAATCCCTCAGGAACCTAACACCTTTCTGGGATAAAAAGTAGGTATTCTATGTCTCAATCCTGGTCATAAACTATATGCTTACCAAATTTCATCCAAATCCGTTCAGAAGATTTAGGCGTAAAAGCGTAACAAATAAACAAGCTTACTTATAATATTTGGAAGTGTTAGATTTATAAAATTTACTATAGTAAAATTATTTAATGCACCCTGCATTGTGACTTTAATGGTTCATGAAACTTTTAGTTCTTACGTTCTTACCTATAAGATGATTAATTAGCCAAGAGATGCTTCTCGTCGTCAACAACGTTGAGTTGGACTCGCGCACAAAGGGGTCCGTACCGTTATACTATAAACATCTTCTAGCTTTTCCTATAAGCTATAAGCAAAGAACTACATTTAAAAAAGATATTAAAAATATTTTTGAAACTTTCACATTGAGATCTTTTATTTATAACATGGTACAGATTGTTAAATTTTAATTTTCCAGTTCACCCTCTCCATAAGTGACGCACATATTCGGAAATTATTTATTTATTTAATTTGAGTTCAAACATTTGAGTCAATTTTATTGGTCTAGTAGATTGATACATACAACCGTGTGATCCTATAAGTATAAGGGTTCCGTTTTGCCGATTGAGGCACGAAATTCTAAAAACGAAGGAGTAAATAAATCATTTGCACGTGAATTGGACACACAAATCAATGATTTTTTTAAATTCCTAGTTTAATACCAAAAGTTTTTGATTTAACATTTTCATTACTACAAAACAATAAAGCTAATAAATTTTGCACCTAAATAGTGTCTTTATTGATTGGTAGGTATTAAATGGAAGCGATTATGAAGCATTTAAGGAAGTTAAAATTAATAAAGATGGACACGGAGAGATCAGCCCGGCGGCCGCCAGCTAATTGCTATTGATGGCAGTTTGAAAGCATAAACTCGATGATTGATAGTATGTTACTGCACACCACAAAATCTTCACTCTGTCTCAATTTTGCAGTCGATTGCTATCATTGTATTTTTTTAAATATTTTTGAGTTCTCAATGCGCGCATTTTTAAAGACGTCAACGAAATTTAAATTTTTATGCTTGTCAAAATGACCATGTTGCCTCAGAATATTGCTGTCGCAAAAAAAGAGTGGACTTGAAGGTAACGGATTTTAATAAGTATCAAACGTAGGTTTTTTTTATAAAAAAGATGTAGTTAAGATCGGGGATAAATATATATCTTTTTAGTATTTAAATCACCGTATAGGAATTATTTCCAACAGCTAAATGATAAAGCAATTACGAATTTTAAGGTACCTACTGTTCTACTTATTGACGAACACCTATACATTGATGTTTTTAAATTATTAATTTTAATTTCGCAATACGAAAGTCAGGTAATTGCCCGACTTGCATTCAGTCGGGCACGCTCTTTCGCAGCGGCTACTCTTTGTTATAACATATAAATATTTAAGGTTTTTTCAGACAAAAAGCCCTATGTATGTTTTAGATAGTAAAAATATACACGGGAACTATTAGAGACAAGAAAAACGTGTCATTTCATTCGTAAGTACTGTTTTAAAGAAATTAATGTAAAACTATTTAGTGATTACTTATTTTGACAGTTGCTGACACCGTTGACACATAGAGGCAAAAGAGCGAGATGTAATCTGCTTCATGAAAGTAAAAGAGACCACTTTAGTACACTCTACTGGCGGATTTCGCCAAGGACGGTGCCATTTTTATATAATAATGTTGGCGTATAACCTGTCTATACATTATACGTTATTGCCCATGCCTGTATCAATTCTCTAAGATTAAAATGTAGGTATAATAAATCAATAATCGTCTGCTGATGATGATGAAAGGAATGATTTTGTTGATGATGATGGAAGGATGGAAGAAGAATCTAAAATTTGATCACGTAAAATCAACACATGAGTAAAATAGGTATCATATTTGAGTTTATAAAACATACCCTCTAGAGTCTGGAGTTATCTTTGCATCTTG